ATAATTGATGGACGCAATCGTGTCAAAAATGCTGTTGAAAACCAGATGGTCTTTTTAATTAAGTGATGGATATGGTTTTTGTCCGTGTAATTTTTCTCCGGACTTGTGAAAATTCCATGGCATTCACCCGTGGAGACAGACAGACGTAGCAACACAGTTATCATAGTTATACGAAGGCCCTTTTTCTAAATGTTACACCGTCTATAACCGCTAACACTACATTTCCGGGAATGTGACACACAATTTTAAAACTGTGCAGTTTTAAAACTGAGTGACGCAGTTTCAAAACTGAGAAAGCTAAAAAACTTTCACAATCTCAGAAATGGTGGCGCGACAGGCGATGTCATTTTACAAATTTCCTGAAATAACGCGCACCCACAGTCATTGTTGAGTCATTGCAGTCACTCAGCTTCAAAACTCAGTTTCAAAACTGAGCGAGTGACTGACTCAGTTTCAAAACTGAGTGAGTGCTGACTGACCCAGTTTTGAAACTGAGTGCGTTTCTGACTGACTCAGTTTTGAAACTGGGGGAGCTAAATTTTTTTCAAATGAATGCTGGGGGCATGACAGGCTTGAAACTCGAACCCACAGTCATTGCAGTCACTGCAGTCATTCCCCACACAAAACTCAGAAATCAAATTAGCAATTGAAACTCACATTGGATGCACCATTTCTTGTGCTCATTGCAGACCTGGCAAAGGTGTTCACCACAGCAGTGGTAGTAACCTCCCAAAAGGAATGATCAAGGCTGGGATAGGTGTGTACATCATTTATCCCACTAGCTTTGTGAAACTTTGCAGCAGTTGTTGAAGGATCACTCACAATGGTGACACATCCTCCAAGCTGCAATGGTCGGAAGTCAAGAAGAAAGCCAAGAAGGGAGAGCCAAGAAAAAAACGAAAATCCCATTTAAGCAATCCCACCAGTACACTTTATTTTATCCTATGTATGCTGGTTGGACAGATTCATATGTGCCTGTCTTCTGTTCCTCTGAAGAGGCAGTCTGTTTCCAGCTCTCTCGTTTCCACAGAGACTGCATGTCCCATTTCTTGGAAGCTCCTAGGTGGCTTTCCTTCATTGGGGTACTGCGTTTAAGAGAGACTACCTACAAAGATATTTTGTCCAAATCAGAGATTCCGTCCTTAAAGCCATCTCAAACTGAGCAAGATTATTTCCGGAGAATTCAATTTTGCAGGTTGTCTGGAGGTCCAGCTAGTATCAAGAAGGGACAAAACGGTGTTGTCCCTGTTCCAGATAGTATGCTTGAAAGCTGCAAACTTTCACTTTGCCATCATCCTGACTTTCAATCATCATCCGGTTCCATTTTCAAGTCCAACTCCAACAGGACTATTCCAACATCCAAACCCTACTGAAGTGGAAACTCTGAAGATTGCCTCTACAGTTGTAATGGGGGCTATGCTCAACAAGGAAGTCAATGCAATTTTTATTGTTTATGATACCAAGGAGAAGGGCTCCAACACTTGGACATACCATGGTCTCACAACTGCTTTTCTTCGGTCTCCGAACTTCTGTTGCACAAGACTGAAGATCACTCCCAACAGCATCATATCCAGGCAAGGAGATCACTTGGTACAGCATCCTGTTTTCGGAAAGACACCTAGACTTGGTTGGGCCTTTATGAAGAAGGGTATTGAGAACTCATTTTCAATAGAACTGAACAAATAGATTCCTGCTAAATGATAATGAACTATAATGAACTAACACTATCAACAAACGGATAATGAACAAACACTACTGACAACTACAAGAACTCATGAAAGTACAGAAAGAACTAGAAATAACTACTAACTTTAACTATCAACTATTTGGTGCTCACCGGAAATAAATCAGCCTCACCATTGTTTGACTACTCCATTGAAACATGTCCCTTGGCACCCACAGCTCGAGGTACAAACATGCTTTCTCTTCCTACAAGAACAACGATTGGAGCTGCAAGCAGTAGCAGTTGATTTGCAATTGCATTTTTGGATCTTCCGTGGTCTTGCCCTTCTGGTAGTCTTGGTCTCAAAAGAGTAGGCATCCTGAAAGCTACAGACGGAGTAGTCTTTCATCTCAAACCTGTCCTCAAGGATTTCACTTTTGGCCAATTTAAGAACGGTGGTCAGTGCAGCATCACTATGCTCCCAATCTTCTGGAGATATATAGGTAGGGCTTTTCCGCCTGCCACGTCCCCTGCCAATGACCCCATTTTGAGTTACCACAAGCACTGCCTTAGTAGGCAAAATATCAGCAACCACACCCATGACTCTTATAGAATGAGTTGAAGTCCTGTCCCTTTTGTCAACTTTGACACAAACTGTGTCACCTAACTTCACTTGGATGCTGTTTTCATAAAGGTCCTTGTGTCGTTTTGCCTGTTCTCTCTGCCTCACCACTGCTAGCCTTCTATTGAAGTCACTTCTTCTAGACTTCATAGCAGCAAGCACCCAGTCTTCTTCTACATTATGATGGTTGTCTTCACTTTGGCTGTCTTCACTTTCATTGGCTTCCGCACTTTTGTTGTTGGCTTCACTTTTGCTACAGTGGGTCTCACTTTGGTTGTTGGTCTCAGTTTCATTGGCCTCACTTTTGTTGGTCTCACTTTTGTTGATCTCACATTCATTGGCCTCACTTTTGTTTCTGTTGGACTCACTTTCAATGCTGGTGTTGGAGTTGGACTCACTTATGTTGATGGGGTTATTGGTCTCTCTTTCGTTTTTGTTCACACTTTTGTTGCTGTTGGATTCACTTTTGTTTTTGGCCTCAATGGCCTCACTTTCATTGTGGGCCTCTTTGCCAGCACTATGCTGAGCATTTTGAGTGACCATCTCTAAGTTCTCACCATTCAGAGAGTACAAGCCCCATTCCCTCACAGTTTTGTAGTTATCATCACAGTCTTCACCTTCGATGTAGTGTACTCTGACCTTAGGCTTCCAGAACACACCTACAGAGTCTCCGTGAAGCCTACTTCTGTACTCTTCCAATATAGCTTCCCTGTCATTTCCAATCATGAGCTGTCCACAGGAAAGCAGCTCAGCCCCTTTGGAGCATGCCAAGGGGCCACAAGATGAACCATCCAACTGTATGAATTGCCTAGCCCGTTCCAGTGTACACATTCCTGTGCTGAAGGCTGAACCAATCTTCTTCTTGTAGGGTGACAGCTGTTCTGCACTGTCAATGAGAAAGTTCCTTGTGCGTTTTTTGGAGTGTACTAGCCCATACTTCTGCAGAACATATCCCACTGCTGTTTTGTAGTGATTGAGGGACGAACCATCTCTGACCAAACCATCATAAATGACAACCCTATTCTCCTTTATCAATACACAGGCCAGTGCAAAATGGTTTCCGTTGAACAGAAGGAAAACACCCTTTTCAATGTTGTCTGGTAGTCTTTCTATTGTACCTGGTCCAAACTGCAACAATTTGTCATTTGTCCTATCAGCTCCAATCAGCAGTGTCACTTCATTGTGATAGCCGTGATTCACAAGACTTAAGAAACTAGTGACCAATGGTGTGGGCCACCAAGCATCTCTAGGTAAGTAGGAACGTAGACTCTCATCATGGTAGGCACAAAGACTGGAAACTGGTTTTCCTTTACTCTTCTGGCACTGGGTGCAGAGCAAGTAGCATTTAGTCCAACCATCTCCCAAGTCTGGGTTCTCGGACTTGTGCCTCTTCAGACCTTCTGCAACACTTAGGCCTGTTGGCTTCAGCTTTTTCTGTACACTTTTCTCTAGAGCAGTAGCAGGTGGCACATGGATGGGTGGGGGGGACAATAGAGGGTGTGGGCTCTTCAGCTGTGGGCCAGTGGCCTGGTCTCTTCAGCTGTCCCACTGGTGGTCTCTTCAGCTGTCCCACTGGTGGTCTCTTCAGCTGTCCCACTGGTGGTCTCTTCAGCTGTCCCACTGGTGGTCTCTTCAGCTGTCCCACTGGTGGTCTCTTCAGCTGTCCCACAACTGGTGGTCTCTTCAGCTGTCCCACTGGTGGTCTCTTCAGCTGTCCCACTGGTGGTCTCTTCAGCTGACCCTGAAGTGGTGGGGTTCTTTTTGGCTGTCCAAAAGGCTGTAGGAAAGGCTCTCCATTTTGTCCTACAGGTACAGGTTTTGATGCCATCTTCAGCTGGACAGGTGGTGGTGGTGATACAGCAGGTCCTGGAACTGCTTCAACAACAAATTCATCATCTTCTACATCAGTAGTAAGCTCACCTGTGAGCACCATCTTCTCACGGAACAGAGGACCCATCACTGGTAGCCGATTATGCACTGTAGCTGGTTTCGCCAGATTGGTGAATTCTTCAGCAGGAATGTGGGAGTACATTGGGTCATCAAACTTCTTTCCGAACACTACTTCATAAGGTGAGATCCCGTTTCTTCCAACTTTGGAATTATGAGCCCTAATTGCATCACCAAGAACAGTGACCCAGTTTATGGACCCTTCCTCTAATTCTCTACCTGTAGCTTTGTTCCTGCGCTCAAGAATTGAGTTAGTGATCTTTTGCTTCAGTTCCTTGTTGGCAACTTCTACACTGCCTTGCACATTAGGTTTCCTGGCCTTCCCATGAACTGTTTTTGTAGTGGGGTTGATACTCCTGACAAGCTCAAGGACAGCACCCCGAAACTCTGTTCCGTTGTCACAATGAAATATGAGTGGATATCCATGAGTTAAACATTAGATTCAATTCATAGGCAACCATTGCTGATTCTTTTTTCTGGAGTGGTGTCGCCATGAGTGTTGGTGAAATGGGATCTTAACAAATAAAAGAACAGTCGAACATGTCGGACAGTGAAGTCGGACATTCGTGATATCGAACACGGACGGGAGTACGGTTCGAGTACTTACAGAGATGGATAAGTATTGAAGATAGATCCAGATCTGTGACTAGTTCGTGAAGAACATGTGCGTATGTGCTTTATACGCCGCGACAGCTGGTGAGAGCTGACGCAGGTTGCTTCCGGAAGAGATTTTTTGTACCTGCTTGTGGAGATCATTGTTGATTGACTTCTGGCAAGAATATCAGTAGAATAAGATCTAATAGGAAGTGGTGAGACTGTTCATCCGCAGGTAGAAGCCCAGCATCACTGGCACCTGTTCCTATTGTAGGCAATCCATAGCCGACGTAGATTCGAGCTCAGTATACTCCAGAGGTGGCTAGAGCGTTGAGGCTCTCATTACAGCTACGGAGTTGATTATCTGACACCTTGACTTGTCTTGGAGTGAATCCTTCCTTGTTCTTTCAAACTGTAATGCCCATTCCCAAGGAGTTCTTGGATATCACTTGGGACAGATCTTTGGCACGCGAAGTCTTGTGATTGGTGATTGACAAAATCAAGATTCTCGGAACACGAAAAAATTGCGGACGAAGTGCAGGATAAGTTCCGGCACTTTGTGGACCATTGGCGCGTGGCAAACACGGTCATCGGGAGAGATTAGCATTCAAAGAATGTCGGAGAACCCATTGTTCTCACTGCGACATTGGGCAGACGTTGGGTTTCCGGAGTAACCAGCTCGGATTTTGCCGGATTGGACTTGGAGGACTCAATTGGAGATTCCCCCGACAAGACCTACGAACTGCTCACTAAGACTTATGCAGCAGTTGAAGAAAGCAAAAAGACGACCAAGACCTCCGTGGAATCGCTTTCGGAGGTAGTGGTAGCGGGCATCCACGGCCAAGCATCTGATAAGGCGCCACCAAATACAGTGGAAAGGAAGTGGCCCACAAGACTCACCTACCACCCTCTGGCACGAGCTAGCAAAGTGTAAGTACTAGCCAATTGTTCCATTTCTTCATCAGTGGCCGGCAAAGCAGGGAACTCAATGTTCCATGTAGCATCATCGTCCTCCTTCTCACACAATTCACCCGGTGCTGCAGTGTTGACGTTGTTCACGGGGATGGGGTTGGAACTGGTACCAGTAGAGTTGCATGACGCAAATTGGGTGGTCCTGTTCCGCTTCCAAGAAGACGGATGCGATGTAGGTTCTGGCTTGATGGGGGTTGGTGGCAGCTTGACTGGACTATTCGGAAGGTCCAAGATGGACACCACTGTGGAGAGGAAGTTCTTGGCAGTGAATTCATGCGCCAATGTCGGATCGCTTTGTAGGATGCTACACTTGGAGTGGAGAAAAACAGCACGTTTTGCTCCACTGAGAAAGTGATTCTGTGTTCCGATGTTGGCCAAAGTAGTGACATTGTTGCTAATATATGCAACTAATTGTAAATGATCAACAAAACGCTTGAAGTAGCCTTTAATAGTTTCACTTTCATCCTGATTGGGGTACTGGCGCACCATATCTTTTGGGATCTTGACGTAGGTTGGATGTACACGTTGTAGAAGTCGTCTCAACGCAGCATATCCATCACCATTGGGTGTGCCTTCTACAATGGCACGAAGTTTGGTAGTCTTGGAAAGAACATTGTTGAGCAGGTGCTGGTACAGTAATGGTGACAAGGATTGAATGGTACTAGCCACTCCTTGGGGAATGTCATCATCAGTGTCTCTGTTGGGATACGACGAAATATGAGTTTTTATGTTCCAAAAGAAACCATTCAAGTACAAGGTTTTCGACACATACGATCGGACTTTGATCGTAATGTCGGGATTTGACGCAAGTCTGCCGGACGCAAGTCTGTCGGACAATCTGTATCCACACAAAAAGGGAAAGATCCTATACAAGTGGAATATTGATGTTGTGTACGATGCAGTAGGGAATAATGCAAGATATCCCAAAGTACTGCATTCAACACAGAATTGTTGTAGAAGTCGAATCGAGTTCTGTAAACAAGGGATTTTCCAAGGGAAAATTGTTGAACTCACTTTTGTGATTGAATCATCAATTCAAGCCAAACATTAATCAAATAGGAACAATTTCACTCAAAGTATACCTAGACACAGGAGAACTATTGTCGTGAAAGTGTTGTACAGTCGATTACGAATTTAGATTGCAGAGAGTTTGTTCTGAGCGCTAAAGGCACTCACGATAGAGCACATTTTGCTTTATTCTAACAAGCAGTAGAATAAGATCTAATAGGAAGTGGTGAGACTGTTCATCCGCAGGTAGAAGCCCAGCATCACTGGCACCTGTTCCTATTGTAGGCAATCCATAGCCGACGTAGATTCGAGCTCAGTATACTCCAGAGGTGGCTAGAGCGTTGAGGCTCTCATTACAGCTACGGAGTTGATTATCTGACACCTTGACTTGTCTTGGAGTGAATCCTTCCTTGTTCTTTCAAACTGTAATGCCCATTCCCAAGGAGTTCTTGGATATCACTTGGGACAGATCTTTGGCACGCGAAGTCTTGTGATTGGTGATTGACAAAATCAAGATTCTCGGAACACGAAAAAATTGCGGACGAAGTGCAGGATAAGTTCCGGCACTTTGTGGACCATTGGCGCGTGGCAAACACGGTCATCGGGAGAGATTAGCATTCAAAGAATGTCGGAGAACCCATTGTTCTCACTGCGACATTGGGCAGACGTTGGGTTTCCGGAGTAACCAGCTCGGATTTTGCCGGATTGGACTTGGAGGACTCAATTGGAGATTCCCCCGACAAGACCTACGAACTGCTCACTAAGACTTATGCAGCAGTTGAAGAAAGCAAAAAGACGACCAAGACCTCCGTGGAATCGCTTTCGGAGGTAGTGGTAGCGGGCATCCACGGCCAAGCATCTGATAAGGCGCCACCAAATACAGTGGAAAGGAAGTGGCCCACAAGACTCACCTACCACCCTCTGGCACGAGCTAGCAAAGTGTAAGTACTAGCCAATTGTTCCATTTCTTCATCAGTGGCCGGCAAAGCAGGGAACTCAATGTTCCATGTAGCATCATCGTCCTCCTTCTCACACAATTCACCCGGTGCTGCAGTGTTGACGTTGTTCACGGGGATGGGGTTGGAACTGGTACCAGTAGAGTTGCATGACGCAAATTGGGTGGTCCTGTTCCGCTTCCAAGAAGACGGATGCGATGTAGGTTCTGGCTTGATGGGGGTTGGTGGCAGCTTGACTGGACTATTCGGAAGGTCCAAGATGGACACCACTGTGGAGAGGAAGTTCTTGGCAGTGAATTCATGCGCCAATGTCGGATCGCTTTGTAGGATGCTACACTTGGAGTGGAGAAAAACAGCACGTTTTGCTCCACTGAGAAAGTGATTCTGTGTTCCGATGTTGGCCAAAGTAGTGACATTGTTGCTAATATATGCAACTAATTGTAAATGATCAACAAAACGCTTGAAGTAGCCTTTAATAGTTTCACTTTCATCCTGATTGGGGTACTGGCGCACCATATCTTTTGGGATCTTGACGTAGGTTGGATGTACACGTTGTAGAAGTCGTCTCAACGCAGCATATCCATCACCATTGGGTGTGCCTTCTACAATGGCACGAAGTTTGGTAGTCTTGGAAAGAACATTGTTGAGCAGGTGCTGGTACAGTAATGGTGACAAGGATTGAATGGTACTAGCCACTCCTTGGGGAATGTCATCATCAGTGTCTCTGTTGGGATACGACGAAATATGAGTTTTTATGTTCCAAAAGAAACCATTCAAGTACAAGGTTTTCGACACATACGATCGGACTTTGATCGTAATGTCGGGATTTGACGCAAGTCTGCCGGACGCAAGTCTGTCGGACAATCTGTATCCACACAAAAAGGGAAAGATCCTATACAAGTGGAATATTGATGTTGTGTACGATGCAGTAGGGAATAATGCAAGATATCCCAAAGTACTGCATTCAACACAGAATTGTTGTAGAAGTCGAATCGAGTTCTGTAAACAAGGGATTTTCCAAGGGAAAATTGTTGAACTCACTTTTGTGATTGAATCATCAATTCAAGCCAAACATTAATCAAATAGGAACAATTTCACTCAAAGTATACCTAGACACAGGAGAACTATTGTCGTGAAAGTGTTGTACAGTCGATTACGAATTTAGATTGCAGAGAGTTTGTTCTGAGCGCTAAAGGCACTCACGATAGAGCACATTTTGCTTTATTCTAACAAGCAGTAGAATAAGATCTAATAGGAAGTGGTGAGACTGTTCATCCGCAGGTAGAAGCCCAGCATCACTGGCACCTGTTCCTATTGTAGGCAATCCATAGCCGACGTAGATTCGAGCTCAGTATACTCCAGAGGTGGCTAGAGCGTTGAGGCTCTCATTACAGCTACGGAGTTGATTATCTGACACCTTGACTTGTCTTGGAGTGAATCCTTCCTTGTTCTTTCAAACTGTAATGCCCATTCCCAAGGAGTTCTTGGATATCACTTGGGACAGATCTTTGGCACGCGAAGTCTTGTGATTGGTGATTGACAAAATCAAGATTCTCGGAACACGAAAAAATTGCGGACGAAGTGCAGGATAAGTTCCGGCACTTTGTGGACCATTGGCGCGTGGCAAACACGGTCATCGGGAGAGATTAGCATTCAAAGAATGTCGGAGAACCCATTGTTCTCACTGCGACATTGGGCAGACGTTGGGTTTCCGGAGTAACCAGCTCGGATTTTGCCGGATTGGACTTGGAGGACTCAATTGGAGATTCCCCCGACAAGACCTACGAACTGCTCACTAAGACTTATGCAGCAGTTGAAGAAAGCAAAAAGACGACCAAGACCTCCGTGGAATCGCTTTCGGAGGTAGTGGTAGCGGGCATCCACGGCCAAGCATCTGATAAGGCGCCACCAAATACAGTGGAAAGGAAGTGGCCCACAAGACTCACCTACCACCCTCTGGCACGAGCTAGCAAAGTGTAAGTACTAGCCAATTGTTCCATTTCTTCATCAGTGGCCGGCAAAGCAGGGAACTCAATGTTCCATGTAGCATCATCGTCCTCCTTCTCACACAATTCACCCGGTGCTGCAGTGTTGACGTTGTTCACGGGGATGGGGTTGGAACTGGTACCAGTAGAGTTGCATGACGCAAATTGGGTGGTCCTGTTCCGCTTCCAAGAAGACGGATGCGATGTAGGTTCTGGCTTGATGGGGGTTGGTGGCAGCTTGACTGGACTATTCGGAAGGTCCAAGATGGACACCACTGTGGAGAGGAAGTTCTTGGCAGTGAATTCATGCGCCAATGTCGGATCGCTTTGTAGGATGCTACACTTGGAGTGGAGAAAAACAGCACGTTTTGCTCCACTGAGAAAGTGATTCTGTGTTCCGATGTTGGCCAAAGTAGTGACATTGTTGCTAATATATGCAACTAATTGTAAATGATCAACAAAACGCTTGAAGTAGCCTTTAATAGTTTCACTTTCATCCTGATTGGGGTACTGGCGCACCATATCTTTTGGGATCTTGACGTAGGTTGGATGTACACGTTGTAGAAGTCGTCTCAACGCAGCATATCCATCACCATTGGGTGTGCCTTCTACAATGGCACGAAGTTTGGTAGTCTTGGAAAGAACATTGTTGAGCAGGTGCTGGTACAGTAATGGTGACAAGGATTGAATGGTACTAGCCACTCCTTGGGGAATGTCATCATCAGTGTCTCTGTTGGGATACGACGAAATATGAGTTTTTATGTTCCAAAAGAAACCATTCAAGTACAAGGTTTTCGACACATACGATCGGACTTTGATCGTAATGTCGGGATTTGACGCAAGTCTGCCGGACGCAAGTCTGTCGGACAATCTGTATCCACACAAAAAGGGAAAGATCCTATACAAGTGGAATATTGATGTTGTGTACGATGCAGTAGGGAATAATGCAAGATATCCCAAAGTACTGCATTCAACACAGAATTGTTGTAGAAGTCGAATCGAGTTCTGTAAACAAGGGATTTTCCAAGGGAAAATTGTTGAACTCACTTTTGTGATTGAATCATCAATTCAAGCCAAACATTAATCAAATAGGAACAATTTCACTCAAAGTATACCTAGACACAGGAGAACTATTGTCGTGAAAGTGTTGTACAGTCGATTACGAATTTAGATTGCAGAGAGTTTGTTCTGAGCGCTAAAGGCACTCACGATAGAGCACATTTTGCTTTATTCTAACAAGCAGTAGAATAAGATCTAATAGGAAGTGGTGAGACTGTTCATCCGCAGGTAGAAGCCCAGCATCACTGGCACCTGTTCCTATTGTAGGCAATCCATAGCCGACGTAGATTCGAGCTCAGTATACTCCAGAGGTGGCTAGAGCGTTGAGGCTCTCATTACAGCTACGGAGTTGATTATCTGACACCTGTTCCTATTGTAGGCAATCCATAGCCGACGTAGATTCGAGTTCAGTATACTCCAGAGGTGACTAGAGCGTTGAGGCTCTCATTACAGCTACGGAGTTGATTATCTGACAATGAGGAACCTGGAGGTGTGGTCCTTCAGGACTAGCAACCACCTGTAGGTCACTCCAAAAAGGGTAGCAGGCTCACTTCTGTAGTCAATGAGGTCAGCCTGGTACCTGTCACGGAAATCATCACTCAAAATTGGCTTGGCTGAACCTTTCCGTTTCTTTTTTTCATTTGCTCTAGTAGTTCTTGCACAAACTGGGCAAACTTGAGTGTATACAGTACATAATCTTCTGGTAACATTGTAGTATTGCTGTGATAGGACATTATGCATAGCTTCTCCAGATGGGTGGCAGTTATGATGATGATACGGACTGATGACATCAAACATTTGTTCTTGATGGAGGACCATCCTATCCTGCCTCCCTGGGCTTTTCTTCTTCTCCTTGCGGAATAGATTGTAGGTTCCATCACAACCGTCATCCTTTGGTTGGAGGAAGAACTTCTTGCTGTACCGTTGTCCAGCACTCTTGTTATTCCTCCTGTACTGTAGTTGAGTTTGGTCCCCTATTGACTCTAGAGTACATCTACAATCTCTTCCCATTTCACTTTTGTGTACACTCTGGAGGTCGGAGGTCCTTTCCTAGCTGAAAACTCTGGATTCCCGTCTTCTACTCCAGATGAGCCACCAAAGGCCTTATGAAAGAACTGCTTCTTCAATTCCTCTTCATCAGCAATAACTGACTCAGAAAACGGTGAGGCCATGATACAGCAGCACGAGAGATAAAAAATGAAGTTGCATCCTTCATGCTGGGGGCTGGACCTACAGCTACAAGTACGGGAGGGTTGCTTGTCTTTGTAGCTCCCTCTAGCCACCACAGTACAATATCAACTTCTGATAACAACCTCTGGAGGAATGGTGGGATCCAAGGTTGAGGCATGGCTGGCGTGCGCCAGTTTTAAGATTGTGGCCAGCAAATTCTCAGTTTTGAAACTGCGTCACTCAGTTTTAAAACTGCACAGTTTTAAAATTGTGTGTCACAGGAATTAATTTCCCAAGACCAAACGGTTTTCGCGCCGTAGTTAGTCTACACGGGCTACAAATTTTGCATGGTTTTCTTACGGCGCGACTCGTAGAAAGTGCGGACAACATAAAACTTTCTGGAATCGGTATTGTATACTTATACCGATTAGAACGTTATTGAAAAGGGGGCGCGATTAGCCATTGATGTCAAAAAAGTATTTCAATATGTATTTTATTATTCGTATTCAATTTCAATACATATTTTATTATTCGTATTCAATTTCAATACGTATTTTATTATTCGAATTCGATTTCCTTTTCCAGGTTGTCAACTATCCAGAAAGTAAGTGTGTTTTCAGCCAGTCCTGTTTTTTTGGTCGCATTTTGTCAGATTAATCCTGTAAATCAATTAAAGATAGTCGGAGAAGTTAGGAGATGCAAAAGGACACAAAACTATGGCGCAGAATTGCGCCTTTTTGTGTGTGTAGACTAGGTAAGAAAGTCTACAGTGCACCAAGGCGCACCAATGACAGCAGTAGAGCTAGTACAGTATTGTAGTGACAGGTGGATCAGAAAGTGGCAGGAAAAGGGCGTTGGAGGGATGGAGGAGCAATTTTTTTCATGACTTCTCTAACACAAAAAAATGCCAAGGTTTCCTCCAAAGCCTGGAAGTGGAGCTGGAATCCCAACCGTTTAAGGATCAAAGTAATGAGCATGAACAGTGGAACAGTCTTGTGCTAAGATCTTATACAACTAAATTCTTTCGTTATCAAATTTTTCTCATCAATTTGCGTGACTTAGATGCCAATGGTCCCATTTATAAAGCCTGTTTACAGGATACAAAGATCAGGGCATCTTTTTATATATAAACAAAAACATTTTTGTCAAGTACCAGGCATCTGCGTAGATTCCACCGTGAAATTTTCACAGAGCCTTTGTGAAATTTCACAGAAAAAAGATCACCCCCATCCCTTTTTCCCGTCACTGTTTTTCTTTCCCCCCGAGAAACATCGTCATTCTTTTTTTTCCTCCAGAAATATAGGATACCACTCACACGAAGGTCCACAAGCACTTGGGACAAACATCACACGTGAGAGATGGCACCAAAGAAACCAAGGGCACCAAAAGGACTAGGTTCTATTCTAACAAGGAACAAGTCCAAATCCCGAAGCTCAACTACAAAAAGAGCCAAAATGATAAGTGAAGAAGAACGCATTGCCGGCCTTGCAAAAATTGCCTCTCGGCTAGAAGCTTTTTGCAAGGAACGCCACACCTCACCTGATCCTCTTCCCATTTCAGGAGGTAGAGACTTAGGTCAGGGGTCTGTTAAATGTGGTGACACGACACTTGACCGCTACAGGTCAGTCTGGAAAGGAATGCTTGATTTTTGCATTCTTATTGGCGACTACATGTCTGGAATAATTCTCCGCCAGTCACATTGCCCTGCAAAACCTCCACCAGTGGCCCTCAAAACGTGCATCCTCTACATGAGATATCGTGTACTGCCTCCAGGTACAAGTGTTATCAATCCAGATTCAGCAACTCCTTTCGTGTATGGCCCCGACAAGACTGAGCTCAAAGCTATTGGCACCTGGACTGCAGAATCCACTGTCGGCAACCTGAACAGTGCGCTTTGGACACTTCACAGGTGTTACGAGACAACCCGCCACAAGTATCAGGAACAATGCAAACAATGCCGTGAAATAGATCCAGAAGATTCCAAAAAAGGACATGGCTGCAGTGACCATGGAGGTAATCCTCACTATTGGAGGCGAGGCAATCCTTCCAAAAGTGTTCTTTTTAAGAATGCCCTTAACGTGTGACGGGAGTATTGCGAGAACAATTACAAACATTGGCAAACTGTGGCCTTCCTTCCATTCCAACTCCGGAATATCAGGACTTCCCTCCCTTCAGATGGATTCACTTCCATTGTTTCAGTGTCAAATGCGGCAATGAGATACTTAGTCAATTTACTGTTATCCGAATTCATTGATGTGAAAATGTGGGCAAAACTTCTCTTCAGTCTGGGTTTCAGACACCAGCTTGGAATCGGTGGGATCCCTGTCTTTAGGCTGTTCTAGGTCAATTTCAACTTGTTTCTTGATGGAATTTTTAGCCCCAGAGGTCGTTTTCATCTTAGACAGGCCCGACTTTTTTGTCTTTGCCAAGAGTGCCTTCAATTTGATAGATTTGCCCATGGCTTGGTGATAAATTCAAAGTTTTCTACATACATTCAGTACTAGCGCTACGCGAGGCAGACTGGTTGGTTCTGCCGGAATGCGTGTTGTTTCGTTTCTGAAATATTTTTTTCTATGATCCACGCATCCACAAAGAGTTTGATATGGGTCTTCCCGACCTGCCTCGGAAACTTTGCCCTGCCAATCCCACCTTTTGAAGTCCTCCGACTCCAACTGGCGGACAAGGAGGAATGGGTCCTTGTCATCTCCGATGCTGGCCGCAAAATCAGACGATCTCTTGCAGACAGGCGACGTTTGATGTGGGAACTGACCCACCCTACTCCTCGCCCAGCAGCCCAGTTGTGGGTACAATCCATCATATGTTGAATGGAACCCTAATTGATTTCTTCTCTAAGGAGCAGTCAACTGTTGAGACTGCTACTTATGGTTCTGAGTTTGTAGCCACTCCAACCTGTGTCAAACAGATCATGGATCTTCAACAGACCTTGAGGTACCTTGGTGTGCCAATCAAAGGTCAAAGCTACATGTTCAGTGACAATGAATCTGTTGTGAACAGTTCTTCCCAACCTGAAGCTAAGCTACACCAGCAACATGTTGCATTGTCAAGAAGCAGTAGCATCCAACATGCTATCTTTTATCCACATTGACAGTGCTCTCAACCCCGCTGATATTCTCAGCAAAAATTGGGGCCATCAACAAATCTGGCCACTACTACTGACTCTAATGTTCTGGTCTGGAGATACGGACTGCTGATCAAGAGGACTAGGTCCTCACTTTGCCCCATTTGGGGAGTGACAGAATTCTAATAAGAACGGGACTCGTGACTTGACATATGGGATTCCCAGGTTGAAGTGTAGCCTGTGCGTCGCAGGCATCACACACGGGCAAACTGTTACACGCAATTATTTTAGCATAGAAAAGTTCTCTAACAAATCATAGGATTTGTGTGGAAAAGTGATGGATCATAGCTTTTCTCACTGCATGCTTTTTACCTGATTTGATCTTCATCATCTTGTAGAAACTAGTCAACTATAGGCTTATTGTCTATTTTCATTTATTTCTGTCAAAAAGAGGGTATGCATCGTCTTCTTTCTTGTTTCCAGAACCTCCAAAATTTGACCACAAAGGGCAGTACAGCATCAGAATCAACTTTCTAAAGGTGATCTCTCCTCCTTGGAGTACTGCTTGTGAAGGTCTGGCTACCCACTTTTCCTGGCCTTCTCAGTGATGATCACTCTTCCAACAATACATACATATAAAAGTGCTTCCCACAACTGTTGTTGCCAAAGTAGACCAATTGAACCACGGGAAGAAGCATCAATCAGCCCTTCTCCACCAAATATCTGACTTCAGTAAAGCCAATTATGGAACAAGAACGCAGCCTGGTCCCCTGCCCGCTGAGTACTCGCTACAAAAGAAGCCAACACTGGCCATGGACAAGACTCAACTTGTGATGAAAATCTCTTTTGGTTCAGTTCTTTCCAAGTTTGAAGCAGATGGTTACTGTGTTGGTGTTCAAGTGAAGGACGACAGTCAAATATTTTGGCAGGGTACAAGGTTTGGCCATGGAATTAAACCAAAAGCAGGATGGTCTCCTGTTGGAGCAGTCCTCCTGTGTCAATCTTTCCATTGACTTGGGACCACAATGCAGCAAAATTTACAACAATCCATTGCTTGATAGAGACAGTCATGTTGACAAGGCAGGATCAGACTTTCCTGGCCACCGTGACCTCGAGACTTTCATCAAACTCATGCGCAATGGTTTGTTGTACAAAATGCAACAACAAAAAGCAGAGACGCCCAAATACGGAGGCCTTGTGATTCCATTTCAGATGGAAAATTGGTTTGGCGCCTTCAGTACTATTTGGTTCATCCACCACCACCACTTGCAGGAACCAAACTGCTTTCCTGTACCCAGAAAAGAGCTGGAGGTTTTAAAGAAACATCAATCCACCATTTGTGCTGTGGCTAGGAACATGAAGGATTTGCGGAAAAAGATCGGAGCTCAACATGAAATCCAAGCAATGATTGCAGATTTAGCAAAACTCTGTTTTGTGCCAAACAATGCTCCAAACAATTCAAATCCCTCAACTCATGCAAAAAGAAAAGCAGTAGACGTAGATGTTGTTGCTACAGCAAAGAAGTGTGGTCAAAAAACTCAGTCTGTGAACACTCCCAAAAGTTTTGGGACCTGGGTGGTGGACATCAACATTTCACCCTCCAAAAGATACCTCCAATGCAAGAAAGACCCCAAAAACCTTGTCCGAGTTTTCTCTTGTCCAGTCTGTAAGCATGCAAAGAGAATTCCATCACTGGACAAAATGTCAAACAATCTGCATGTTCAACTGGAATTCACCCCTTCTCCAAGGTCTCCCTTTGTTGATTGGGAGCAATCAAAGCCATCAGATGCACTGAAACGTCATAAAATCTATGTAGCTAGCGAGCAATGAAATGGATACTAACGCCAACACTTGTTGCCTTGGCAAGAACTTTGTTATCATGAGCTACACACCAAGATCGGCGGATGTGTACGCGTACGACCCAGCTCTACCACCAACCAATGCACCAATTGTATCTGGGGCGACCGCACTTTACTATGGGAACCGGTTAGACCATTCATTGATCAACCCAAACCAAGTCCGCAAGTTCAGAATTCCCCTATGGGATAATCCGTTTGATGAGATGAGGAATATTGGCATCGAAACCAAGCCGATATTCGTTGCACTCAAGGCAAAGGGGACAAAGTTACTATTTGATTCAAGGGCCCCAACTGATCAAGAACTTGCAAATTGCCCCCACATTGATATGACAAGCAAAGTGCCTTGGAACCCAGATACCGTACAACTTGGAAAAATCTCAATAGTCCACGAAGACCCAATAGATGACCCAAGATCCAACGAAGCTGAATTGAGACAATTGGATCCAATCATGCAAGGAATGAACGAATGGCGCACGGTACAACAGACAATAGTCAATGGGGAGAGATTCTTCCAACAAGTTGGACAAATGGACGATGATGCACAATTCGCAGACGTACCTGTGAGGCCGTCCTTTGTATCCACGGAACGACACACCAAAGCAACAGCAGAAAACCTATCTGAACGACTAGGAATCGGTTTTAACAGAGCACGCGCCACGTATGCCGGACGCAAGTCTGTCGGACAATCTGTATCCACACAAACAGGAAAAGATCCTGTACAAGTGGAATATTGATGTTGTGTACGATGCAGTAGGGAATAATGCAAAATATCCCAAAGTACTGCATTCAACACAGAATTCTCGTAGAAGTCAAATCGAGTTCTGTAAACAAGGGATTTTCCAAGGGAAAATCGTCAAACTCACTTTTGTGATTGAATCATCAATTCAAGCCAAACATTGATCAAATAGGAACAATTTCACTCAAAGTATACCTAGACACAGGAGAACTATTGTTGTGAAAGTATTGTACACTCGATTACGAATTTAGATTGCAGAGAGTTTGTTCTGAGCGCTAAAGGCACTCACCATAGAGCACATTTTGCTTTATTCTAACAGTTGGGCGAGAAGGTGTCTTCTCGCCGAAGGACGTGGGTTTGATGAACGACGCAAGAGGCCTCGTCGCTGAATCCAAGGAGATTGGTTCTGAACCAATGGGGACGTTGCAGCCACTGCGCGTTGGATCGAGTCGCTCACTGCATTCCTACGCTGCGTTGCCTCATCTCTACGGTGTTCGGCCTTCCTAACCTCCTCCTCTGCAGCACTCACGCCCATTTCCACCTCCTCTGCTACAGAGGTTAAAGCATCCACTGCGTTTTTGATGTCGACCTCTCTGTTTACACTCGGAGCATCAGGGCGTGGGGCTCTTAGCGTCCCCTCCCCACAACCAAGCGCTGCTGACTCAAGCTGGTCCCTTCTTTCAGCTGCAATACGTTCTCGTTCTGCGCCGCTGCCCAGCACCAAACATGCGTTGGCATTGGTTTCATATGGGCTTCCTGAAAAGGGATAATAGCTTACTTGCCCCAAAACAACATCCTCGTCGGGCCTGTAGCTGATACCAAAGAAACCATCCAGTGTGACAGAACAGTACATACATTTTGCCGCAAGACCATGGCTGTTTCGAGGGCCATTGGATGATTCCCTCGTAGCCATATTACTTATCTGACAATCAGCATGGATCCTTTTCCCACAACGCGGCAGGGCAACCACGCAACCATGGCATGTTGTTGTATTGTGACAAACAATACAACTCGGGTCCCTAGCAAAATTGTACAGCCCTGAGTTCGCACGGAAAACGGACCCCATTAGACGCCGTTGAAGCTCCCAGTTTTCGTGAGTGGTCACAATCTTCCCAGCCTCCACAGGTTCTTGCAACAAAGAAATGATGCCTCGGAGGACCTTTTCGCGGACATTCGAGACACCATCTATCCCGTTCGCGGCATAGACCCCAAGGTTTTCAAACATGAAGTCCAGAGCAATAGGCCCACAATTGTAGAACCCCTCTGCTGGTCTTGAGGTTTTTGTCCTTGCACTAAACGTATAACCAGGCTCTTCAGCATACTGAGACTGGGAGTTCCAAGTCAAAACCCTTGGCTCAACGATCCTACCCCAACCAACTGCTCCTAGAATCATGGACACTCCTTCTTTAATGTCCTTGTCTCGCATAAGATTCAGTTTCATGTGAGAAAACTTGCAACTTTTGCAGATCATGTCTACCTCCAAAGCCCCCCAGTGCTCAGCCAAGTGACGAGACCGATTCGTGCTTCCTGTAATGGCAAAAACATAGAAAGGTTTGCATTTCTTCCATGTCTTCTCTTTCCATGCGCAGATTCCAGTTGGGGTCAAGTTCAAAAGCATCAGGACAACCCATTGGGACCCTAAAAATACACGGGCTTATGTACTTTCCATTGTCTGCAACGATGGATTCACGATGAAGCAGCATGAGGGTCATTTTAATGATATCATCTGACCACATTAAATCACTTGTCAACAGCTCATTGATGGCTTCGAAGGTAATTTCAACATAAAAGGGTTTTTTGTCTTCCTCGTCATTAAAACCCTCTATGTTAGAAGTAAGCGATCCACTGCCGCCTGCAAACTACCTGTTCAATTGACTGCAATTTAGCTGTCCAGGTATTGTTGCCTTCTAAGTATATGAACTTACAGTATATAGAAGTATATAGATCAATCAAAGATCCTACTTTATCAACCAATTCACTCGTTGC